AAAAAAGGCCCAGCACAATGGTTCATGCCTGTAATCCCAGCACTTTGGGAGGCCAAGGTGGGCAGATTGCCTGAGATCAGGTGTTTGAGACCAGCCTGGCCAACATGGTGAAACCCCATCTCTACTAAAATACAAAAATTAGCCAGGCATGGTGGCACATGCTTATAATCCCAGCTACTCGGGAGACTGAGGCAGGAGAATCACTTGAACCCAGGAGGCGGAGCTTCCAGTGAGCCAAGATTGTGCCACTGCACTCCAACTTGGGCAACAGAGTGAGGCTCTGTCTCAAAATCAGCAGCAACAACAACAACAACAAACAAGATGAGCACATTCCCAGAAATCTCTGATCCCTACCACTTCTCTCCTCTCTGTCCTGGTAAGGATTGCCAGGGAGGGTTGAGGAGGGGAGGTTTGTTCTCTTACCTGCCATAGTTCTGCCTCCTCTTTGACTCCTCTCAGGGTAGAAGTTCTATTTTCCTGAGAACAGAAATGGAATTGCTTTTGAGAGATCCAGCCTGGTCTCACCCCACCCCTCCCACACCATTAGTGCATAAGCCAATGTCTGGGGTGGGAGCTGGAAAAAGCTGCTGCCCCCAAGAGCTTTTCTAACCCACTAATGGCACTGATTGGTTTCCTGCAATTCCCTGTCCCCTGCAAAACCAATTTCCCAGAGACCAGGGAGTGGGTAGGATGCTACCCAGTTGGTAACATTTCCAGGTAAAGGGAACCATAGGCTGAGCCTGCACACTGTGCTGGTGGCCTGGCCTCCTGGTGGGACCCCAGGCCTGATGACCCTGCCCAGAGGGTGAGACACAACCTTCCCAAACCTGAGGAAATCAGATCCATTCAGGATCCTTCCAGCTGTGTAACAGCTTGCCCCATTGACTTTGGAATGAGAATTCTCCAAGGACATTCTTTGGGACTCCTGGCTCCTTCCCCAACTCTGAAATTTTCTGGCAGGACCCCAAAGTCCTCTACCTCCCACATTCATAGAATCCTTCCGGTCACAAGGTCTGCAGGGGAGAGTCCTCAACTTTGCTGCTCTTAAGTTCTTCTTGGCCCAGGCCCATAGGATCCCCATGAATCCATCTGCTCCCCTCTGAAGCCAGTGAATTATAGTGTCAGGTGAACAGGAGTATTTTCCATTCTGTCACCACCACCATCTCTCCCGATTTCCTCTTAATTGCATCCATCTGTTATGGTCAATGGGGAGTCCCACACAGGAGAGGAAGGGGGTTGGCTCTGGGATGGGATGAGAGCCATAAATTGGGGTGGGGAGATGTCTTGAAAGAGTTCTCCAGCAGTCCCACCCTCTGTGCGATTGGCCCACGGCCAAGCGGTTCCATTTTGGGGACTCCATTTTCTGCCCAAAAAGCCCTGTCATTAATATAGAATCACACATGACACAGCGAATTCCTCTCTCCCATGGAGATCGTTCCATTTCGCAATGGCCCACCCACTGGCACTTCTGGCCCCTGGCGGCCCCTCACCAGCCCAGCCGCTGCACCCTAGCGTGCTGGAATGCCATGGTACGCCAACTGCGTTCTGGAGCGGTCACAGGTGCCACAGGCGCTATGCCGAAGGGAGTCACGAGGAAGGGTAGGAGGGAAGACAGTCACCAACGGATGAGGACCCAGCTGGCCATGGCCAGGGGAAGGGCTGTATGGGCCCCCGTCCCACCCACCCCTCAGTGCAGCCTCCTGGCAAGTGCGCTGGCAGCAGTCGGAGACCCCACACTGGAGTAGTCTGAGTTCAACACAGCTATCTGAGTCATCATCCCCATCGTCACACACATCATCACCATGAGCAGCTATCATCCTGTTACTCAGCTATTGGTAACACATGAAGAAGGATAACGATGATACCACTCTTCTCCCTCCAGCCTCCTGCCTACAGCTCCCAGCTGAGGAGGGCAAAAGAAACAAAGCCCTTGGGGGATCTTAGGGGTGTGACATTAAGCCATCCACTTCTGGTGCTCCACCATCTTCTAAAATAAGCCAGATTTGGTACAAAGTCAATGACATGGGGGAAGAGATCTGTTGAGTTGGAGACTAGAGGGATGTGGTCTCAGTTGGAAGAAATGAGAAAGGAAGTGATTTCTCTCCTCCATAATTCATTCCCACATTTAAGAAGTCCAATTATTCCCAAAAGCAAATGTCAGCTTGTGTCCTTACTTCAGCTGTCCCAGCAACACTCTCAGCACTGGATCCGGGGGCAGTGTCTCCCTGGCCCCTCTCCAGGATCTATGGCTCCCTACCCTTTTTCCCTACCCTTTTTCCCTACCCTCCCCGCATCCATCCTGCAGATCCAGGTCCCTGCTACCTCCAGCTGGTCCCTGCTACCTCTCAACTGGTAGAAATGGAGGCAGGAAGAGCCAAGTGGGGTTCTCTCAACTGCTTTGACCATGTTACTAACCAAAATATAACAAGTCCCAGCCTGAGGTCCTTATTCTGGACTGCTAGTGATATTTTTAATCTGGTCATCGTATAACACTCAAAGTCAAGCCGTGTCCAGAAAATTAGAGCCGGGACAGAACCACCCAGACAGGACACACTGAAATTCTCTCTTCCAGATATCCTGGAGTCGCCTAGAGGGGATACAGGTGCACTCCAGCGTGTGAACGGCCAGCCAGGGAATGTTCACCAGGCAGATGTCCTACCCACTGCCTGCCCCTTCCTGCATAGAAAAACTGGACAGCAGGTTAGTGTCTCCATCCGGCCCTATCCTGGCCTGGGTGGGCAGCCAGGTGTGAGTGCCCACTTACCTGGGTGTACAGCTGGCCTCCCGCTTCCTGTCTGCTCCCTCTTCCCCGTTTCCAGCTGCTGCTTGCTGGAGACTCTGGATCGACTGGTAGTAGACAGGCAGGGCTGGAGCAGGTGTCAGTTGCTGCAGGCGCCTCTGCTCTCTCCGCCCCTCCCACTCACCCCGCCTCCTCCTCCTCCTCCAGTCCAGGCTTGGCAGGGTAAGGCCCCCCAGGGCTAACACTCTAGCTCAGAGGAGGTCAGAGATGGAAGGGTCCTGTGACATCAGTCCATCCAACTCCTCGCTTTGCAGAGCTTTAAGCTCTTAACCAGACTGGCTTAGTATAAATTTGCCCCATGATGCCTTTTTAGCAAGGACATTTTCATCATCCAAACCCTTAACTTTTCAGCTAAGCTGGTCCCTTGGGACCTTTGACACCATAAGTCACACAGATACATAAAGCCGCTGCCCTCTTGGGAATCACATCTCAAAGTGGTACCGAAGAGGCAGCAAACTTTGAGAGTGGGAGGGAAGGCAGTCACTAATGGAGTCATAGACACAGAGTCCACCGAGTGACCAGGAAGGAGGAGACCCTGGGAATTGTGTAGTCAGGAGGCCTGCTGGAGAAGGTGAGCTTGCTCAGGAGCTTTTCAAGGAATAGAAGGGGTGACCTGACCAGCAGGGTTGGGGGCTGAAGTTGGCAGGGCAGATGGTTGGCAGATGGATGGCAAGTGGAAATTGGAAATACAAGGCTGGTAACAGATTTTCTTAGGGAGAGTGGAGGGTAGGTGAGGCCCAGGAGATAAGGCCACTTGGTGTGCTTTTAAAGAGCCACATTCTGTCTCCTTAAGGACAGAGAACTGCTTTGTTGCCACCCATAAGCAAGGCTGATCCAGGATTCAGGTGAAGTAGAAGGGAAATGGGGTGAATGTCCTCCAAGGCAGGACACTGAATATTTACACGTATTCATTAGCATCTTGCCGATTTCTACAGGCACTACCTCTGGATGTGCTCCTAGAGGGGACGTGTTTGACGTCTTCTGCGCAAGTGTGTGTATATGTGTCCGTGCATGCACACACACATGCATTTGTGTGTCCTCCCTGTGTGTTTCTGAGTGTCAGGGCTGGTCTTTCATTTGTTCAACAAATGTGTGTTGAACACCTACCCTGGGTTGAGCCCTGGCTCTGGCACTGTGTTAAGCCCTGGGAATACAAACGTAAGCAAATGACAGGGCCCTCCCATCATGAAGTTTGCAGTCTAATGGGGCAGGCAGACGTGGGGGCTCTGAAGGAGACAATGGAGAGTGTGAGGGGAGAGCTGGACCTTGGACAGCAAGGGAAAGACTGGCAGTGAGAGTTGAGTTTGGGCAGGTAGGCTTTGGGGGCCATTGAAGAGTTTTGATCTCTATTGTAAGAGTTACTAAGGTTTGTTTAAGGTGGAGAGGTGACAGAATCCAATCTGCCTTTTAAAAGAACTCACTCTGGCTGCAGAGATGCAAGGGATTGGAGGAAGGAGGAAGTGAGAAGCAGGAGTCTACGTCCCAGGAGTGCAGTCCCAGGAGAACACCCCAGGGTGTTCTTTCTCATGGTGGAGCCCTGAGCTCCAGGGGCCTCCTGAGCTGCAATGCTGCATCATCCCAGGAGCGGGAAGGAGGAGGCTGTGAACATGGCCCAATGCAGAACCCGTCAGCATTTCAGGTGCCTCTATTGCCCCCGTAGATAGCCCATGTGCGCTTCCCTGAAGTCTGGGGACGGCCTGCAGATCCACGAGTCAAGGTGTGCCCTGCTACCTGGCCTCCATTTTCCATGTTGTTGTTGTTGTTGTTATTGTTGTTTTCTAAATAGAGATAAGATCTTGCCATGTTGCCCAGGCTGGTCTCAAACTCCTGGGCTCAAATGATCCTCCCGCATCGGCCTCCCAAAGTGCTGGAATGGCAAGTGTAAGCCACTACATCCACCCCATTTTCCATGTTTTAACAGCAGCCCACATTAGGGGACCCACTCCTCTCTGTGCTGTGTCATACTTGGATCCGTATCACTGCAATAAAATGGAAATTTCATGACTCCAAGGAACTGAGATGAGTTACGCAGTTTTTACCACTCTCCCCGCTTTATCCTCCATCAAATGTAATGTCCAATAATATTTAGCTATGTCTGGATCTCTAGCCATTCACCACCACCACCACCACTTCCCAGGGTATAATCTTATTACACCTCCTGATAGATATTTCCTTTCCTTTGGGAGATAAAGAGACAAGACCTGGCCGGGCGCAATGACTGAGGCCTGTAATCCCACCACTTTGGGAGGATGAGGCAGGTGGATCACAAGGTCAGGAGATTGAGACCATCCTGGCCAACATGGTGAAACCCCGTCTCTACTAAAGATACAAAAATCAACTGGCTGTGGTGGCACACGCCTGTAGTCTTAGCTACTTGGGAGGCTGAGGCAGGAGAATCACTTGAACCCAGGAGGCGGAGATTGCAGTGAGCCAAGATTGTGTCACTGCACGCCAGCCTGGCGACAGAGCGGGACTCTGTTTCAAAAAAAAAAAAAAAAAGAGAGAGACAAGACCTTACCTTCATCGATTAAGGGAATATCCACATCAAAAGAACTCTGGACAGTGAATTTGTGTGCATTATTCATTGTTCCTCAATGCCTTGTGGAAAGGGCTCAGGGACTTTGGGTAGG